CATGGGGCGCGGGCCAATTTTACACTCTTATCAATGTGAATGTTAGCATGTCAATGTGAATATTCACATTGACATGTTAACATTCACATTGATAAGAGTGTAAAATTGACTCGCGTCCCATGGGCGGCCCGGGTTTGGGTCCGGGCCTAACCCGGGCCGCGGGCGAGCTTCGGGCAGCGGGCCAATTTTATAATCCTATCAATGTTAATGTTAACATGTCAATGTGAATATACACATTTTATAATCCTATCAATGTTAATGTTAACATGTCAATGTGAATATACACATTGTCACGGGTCGGGCCAAGCCCGCCTCGGGCTGCGATCTGGCTTCGGACCGCCCACGGGTTGCGGGCCAATTTTACACTTCTATCAATGTAAATGTTAACATGTCAATGTGAATATTCACATTGCCAATGGGTCGGGCCCGCCCCGGCTCGTGGTCGGGCTTCGGGCTGTCCACGGGTCACGGGCCAATTTTACACTCTTATCAATGTGACTATTAACATGTCAATGTGAATATTCACATTGTCAACAGGCCGGGCCGGGCCGGGCCCGCCTCGGGCCGCCCATGGGCCGTGGGCAAGTTTCGGGCAGTCACGGGACGCGAGCTAATTTTACACTTCTATCAATGTGAATGTTAACATGTCAATGTGAATATTCACATTGTCACAGGTCGGGCCAAGCCCGTCTCGGGCTTCGGTCGGGATTCGGGCTGCCAACGGGCTGCGGTCCAATTTTACACTCTTATCAATGTGAATGTTAACATGTTCATGTGAATATTCACATTGTCAACGGGCCGGATCGGGCTCGCCCCGGGCCGCCCGTGGGCCGCGAGCGGGTTTCGCGCCGCCATGGAATGGGGGCTAATTTTACACTCCTATTAATGTGAATGTTAACATGTCAATGTGAATATTCACATTGTCAACAGGCCGGGCCGGGTTGGGCCCGCCCTGGGCTGCTAGCTAATTTTATACTCTTATCAATGTGAATGTTAACATGTCAATGTGAATATTCACATTGTCAACAGGCCGGACCGGGCCCGCCTCGGGCTGCCCACGGGCCGTGGGCGGGTTTCGGGTAGCCACGAGGCGCAGGCTAATTTTACACACCTATCAATGTGAATGTTAACATTTGAATGTTAACATGTCAATGTGAATATTCACATTGTCAACGGGCCGGGTTGGGCCCTCAACGGGCCGCGGGCGGGCTTTTGGCTGCCCATGGGCCGCGGGCCAATTTTATACTCTTATCAATGTGAATGTTAACATGTCAATGTGAATATTCACATTGTCAATGGGCCGGACCGGGCCCGCCCATGGGCCGCGAGCGGGTTTTGCGCCGCCACGGGACGTGGGCCAATTTTACGCTCCTATTAATGTGAATGTTAATATGTCAATGTGAATATTCACATTGTCAATGGGCCGGGCCTGCCCTGGCTCGCTAGCAGGTTTCGCGCCACCAACGGGTCAATTTTACATTCCTACCAATGTGAATTTTAAAATACGAATGTTTACATCATTAAATTGCTAATCATTCAAAAAATATTTATAAAGGTATCAAAATTGAATATAAGGGTATAAGTGTCCAAGAAAATAGTGTAAATCAAGAAAATGGACTTTATGGAATAAAACTATACATACATGGGAC